ATTGCTGTCTTTGTCCACCATCCACCACAGTCTCCATGCAGACTCACTGTGTTCGTCTCCGTCTTTATCCACCATTTATCACCATCTCCGATTTTGTCCATCGCTGTCGTATCCGTTTCTGTCCACTGTCGGCGCCTCCGTCTCTATCCACCGCCGTCTCTGTGCTCGTCACTGTTCACCGCCATCTCCATCTGTGTTTTATGAGCGTAAGTGAGAGAGGGAAGGGAAGAAAAATTTATCAAGAAGGTAAAAAAGTTTTTTTAAGTTAAGAGAGAGAAGGAGAAATTTAGATTTGTGGTAAATTTTGCAAGATTGAAAAATTGTGATAGATTTGATAAGTAATTTCAAAATAAATGGTAGATTGCATAATTTTCTCTATATAAAATAATAAAACTATGTGTGATAAAATTATAAAATTATCATAATAAAATTATAATTATAAAATTATAAAACTATGTGTGATAAAGTTATAAAATTATATTATTATGGCAATAATAAAATTAAATCATAATGGCATCCAAACAAAACGTTGATAATGTGATCAAATGATACCGATGGTTTATATGATACCCTCGTGCATGTTTTAGATCCTCGAAACGAGAAAAATCAAGAACTGCAACAGTTAGGACAATGATAGTGCACAAAGACAATAAAACTAAAAGAAAACAATATGGTTGGTTTCTTTCTATAAGAGAGCTTCGATGTCAATCTCCACGAAAGAGCATGGATCAGTGATGTCAAAATTGTTCAAAACCTGATATGGAAACGAAAACACAGATTTGAAATAATTAAAAAACTTGAAGGTTTTTGGATCGAGCAAGGATGATATATGAATGAGAAAGTGTACCTGAGGGTGCACGATTCCAAAGTTGCCAATGTGTTTCCCTTTGGCAACGATGCTAGCTTGCCTTCCTGGTAGAAACTCGGGTTCCTTTTTACAGAACGCAACAGATAAAGAAGAGAGATTAGGATCTTGAGTTAGTCGATAATGAGAAATTTTTCAGGATCAAATGGAGAGCTTACCTGAGAGAGCTTTATATAGTATCCGGTATTGTCATTGACTGGTACAAATGGGATCCCCATAACTTCCATGATTCTATCGACGAGGCCATGTACCAGCTGAAAATATAGAGAGATGAAGTTAAGAAAACTTTGTGAAATTTGCTATAATGAAGATATTATAGTTGGACAAAGGAATTCCATACTTCAAATCCAGAAGTAGCACCACAATGTAGTGCAGCGCAATGGCGACGATTTGATGCACCAACGTCTTTGCTCTCATCCAACAAGCCCACATCACCTATTTCATAAATCTTGAACCAGAAGAAAATAATGTCGTTGAAGCAACACTCAAATCTCAAATCTAGATTACGGTCAGCAGAGATACGGTTTTACCTTAATAGGTTTAGGATGGTCTTTGTTTGAACCAACTGTCTTCAATATTCCGGGCATGAGACTCCTCCTCATGGCCTATTACCACATATAATGAAAATCTTTCAGCATTTAGCAAAGAATTACCACTGGAGAAGTGTACAAAGAGGTGAGCAAAGGACCGGGGAGGAACCTCAAAATCAGCAGACCGCGGGTTTCCAATTATAACAGCTGAATCGTCATCCTTTCTATTTAGCATTGCAAAGTTTTCCTTGCGCGAGCATAGTATCCATGTTAGCACCTCGCTGTACACATTCATCGCAATCTAAAATTCCAAACATGAAACAGATAACTTCGTGAGAAACAAATGCTAAAGTTACTTCACATGAAACACAGATCACTGTGAGCTCATGCAAAAGCAAAAATAGAGGCGCTAATAAATACCTCTGTTCTGAGAAGATCAGTGAGCTCATTCAAAGACAGTGGTTTTATCGAAGCAGGCTTCCTTGTTGGGATATTATTGAAACCATAGGCAATGGCAACGTCCTGGTGAAATATGAAGCAAAGCAATTAGTAAATGTATAGAGAATCATGAAAATGGCACCAACACAGAAAGGTTTTTGATTATGAAAACAATACCTCCATAACATCACAAGGGTGGAGAACATCGCTTCTGCTCGGGGGTACATATACTTTTATGGCACAATGGTTATCACCAGATTTTGAACGCTCAGCATGTAGCTGCATTCTGGTCAGCAGACTTGTAACCTAAAAGGTACAAAAGCCATTTCACAGAATAAAATGATTGAAATCATTGCAGAGTAGAATTTAGAGACCCTAGAAAGAAGCAAAACACACAGTAGACAGCAATGTGAAACCGGTCAGAGAAACGCTCACAGCTACGAGAAGTACCAGTCTACTTGGTATTGTAGTATACTCGAATTATGCATTAAAACTTTTAACGAAAAAACTAGCAACAGGCTGAAGGAGATCTCCTTATATAAATGCTACGATTTACTTGTACTGCAGCCTCTTAAATCGATAGCGCAAAAAAAGAAAATGAGATTGGTTCATGTTATATAATGGGATAGTTTCATATCAGTTCACTAATCTTGGAATACAGAACAACTTGACAGCAGTGATGCATTTATTACCTCTTCCACCTTCAAAGAGACTCCAATTGAGTCCGTAATATAAGACAGAGGAACTTCCATTTCATAGACAGCCAAATCCGGAGAGATGTATGACTTCCCTTCATCATATGTAACTTCAACAGGCTCAATCACAAATTTCCTCTCACAATATTCTGAAAAAGTTGTAACCTGGAAAACGTAGAATGATCAGTTAGAAATTGATCAGTTTAAACACAGTATCTCTGATCTGTTTACCACATACCATTGTGTTTAAAACAATTTTGGCCTTCGTCAAATCGGTTGCTGTACATTCAATGAAGACATTCTTTGTCTGCAGGGTAATTGCTGAATGTGCACCATTGATAATGGGTGGCAATGACAGCACAGTTCTGCAAAAGTGAACCTTCATTATTTGTTTTGCTACACAATCAATATTCATCAACCTTAGAGGTACTGGAGAAGAACCAAATACCTTTTACTGTCGAACAAAACAGGGAAGACGGGTGAATTCTCAATTATGTGTAAATACTTTTTCAACTTCAAATCTGACTGCAAAATAAAGTAGAGACAATCTTTCAGACATCAAAAAATACATTTTATAGATGGAAAACTCCTTCGGCAAGCCTAAGTAGTAAGTACTTAGAGTAAACACTTATTTAATCTCGTCACATCCATGAAATTTCAGTTCAAGGATGATTCATACAATGACCAGAAAATAGAAACTTTAACCGTTTCAATAAAAAAGAATTCTTGAGTTACCTTGTAAAATTCAATTAGTTCGTCAGCCCTGAAGCTCTTTGTCTGCCACCAAGAGATTGGTATTAGGGTAACAAACATGCAACCATCATGAATTATATGTCACTCAAAGAAGTGAGAAATTGTACCAGATATTTTAAAAGCAAATGCTATTAAATATAAACTATAAGATCATATAACAGAGGAAAAAACATATAAATAAGAGACCTCAAAGAACAGAACTGTAAGAATATAACCGAGAAGGCACATGGCACTATTTTGTATCAGAGATATTAATTGATGAGTCCACAAGGATATCAACTTACTTGCTTCAAAGGTACAAAATTGATATCTGTTGGTGGCAAAGCCTGAAAAATATAAAGATCATAGTATCAATCGCTCGCAGAAAAGCTCAACTAAAAGAAAGTGTCAACATAATAAAGAAAACATAGATTGTATACAAGTTTCATTCTTGCTAAAAGAAGTACACCAAGTAAGATCAAATACGCGTAATGTACAGGTAGAAGAAAACTAGAAAGACAAAAACATATAGGAAAGATTATATAACACTTACCTCATATGTGAATGGGCCCTGCAATGTATCAAGGTCATGAGTTCCAATTGCAACCAGAGATCTTCGCCTGAAATATATAAGCTAAGATCAATGAACATGACACCATTTGCAAAAAATGGAACCTCATAATTTTAATCCCAAAATGCAAGCCACACAATGACGTTTAGCTAACAATTGAAATGATGCAAAAGAGACCAAATGTGGATCTTATGACTGGCCATGCCATTTACCGGCAAATATTCTGATGTAACTTGTCTTGAAGATCAATGAAGCTGTTGTAACGAGCCTCGTCAAAGGTTACACCTCTTAAAACAGCACAGACAACATATGGGCGAATCTTCGATGTCTGTGAAAAGAAAACACTAGATACATAAACATTTCAATCATGAAGGAACCAAAAACAGAATATGGTTACAGAGCTATACACACCTCTGATTTAACTTGCATTTTAAGAATCTTGTCTTTGCTAATGTCAGCAAGTCTATACGTTGGTATCTCTTGTTTCTTGTTGAAAACACGAAGAGCTTGCGCAAGCCCTTCGAGGCAGAGCAAATCGTATCTACATTGATTAAAATACAAACAAAAAACACCCAAATCAGTTCCCTAATTATCTTCCTCTTCCTAAAACATCTATCAAC